ATTAAAAGGAGTGCGATCACTGAATGGTTTATTCCCTCACCCCCTATTCATGTCAAATCTACCATAGCACATATTCTTATTATACCAAGGGCATATATTGTATATTTTCTAAATGAAAAAAAAAAATATAAATTCTATCTTATAGATAATACATTTTCTATACATATTTATAAAATATTATGTAAAATGTAATTATTATTAAGCTTTATGCTTTATTTTAACCAAACAATATTAGTGAGATTGCATGTTGTTTGAATAATCCAGTTTACAAATAGATAAATAACAATAATGGGTGTGCGACGGTATATCGTCCCATATGAAACGTCATGTTCAGATTTAAACGAAGAAGCGTTGTTGTTCATTACAATATCGCGTGGATATTAACATAATATTATCATACTGTTGTTAATACGTATTATAGGCATACACGGTACTAGCAATAATATTATACGCGTGTTTTAAGTACCAAGCTCCGTGAATTCCATCGTCACACGCAACATATTATCGAATACCCACTCTATAACAAAAACGACACTGCATACTATTCAGATTATAACGTTTATCACTATCCTTTATTTTCCATTTCCGTAATTCATTTAGATTTCTAATTTATTTATTCTTTAAATTAAAACGCAATCATTGATCATTATTTTTAGGCTGGAGTGCACAAACTGCGCTGCGTTTATTTATTTGACAAACGGCTATTAAGCGCGTCAGTAGTAAAACACAAATACTTTAAAGCTTAAACAATTAAAATGGTCTAAAGAACTTAAAGAATACTATTTGATATTAAGATATTGACGAGAGATTTTCACTTCTTAGGCGTCAAATTCGATTTATTCCATACAAAATATAAAAACTGCAAATATCTTCATTGAAGTTTGAAAACATTTTCTTAAGGGATACCTAGAAGTCACTTGTAACGTGTCTCTTTTTAATGTACAAATATAGGGCGTTATCCTTAGATCCACGGACATTATAAAGATAAAATATTATTAAAATATATTAAGTGAAAGTGCACAGCGCTAAAGACTAAACCTAGTATAATGGATTCATATTTTTTTTCAGCTCATTGAAATATAGCTTTGAGTTTATGCGCCCATAACTATTTTTTCAGCTTTTTTGGTATATTACAAAATATTAATCGACTTATGCGCTCACGCAGTGACGTAAGTATAAATTCGAATGCGACAGTATTTCGATTTCCAAGATCAAAATAATCGAGAACGTCAAAAATTCGGTCTAGTGATTAGCCAACCATAACAACCCCTTCAGTGACAGATTTCCGACGGTGGCGGTGTGAGGTAAAAAAGATACGCTGATAGGATAAGGATAAAATATATCATACTTTCAGTCAACATAAATATTATATATAATATTTAAATATACAATATATATATGTGTATAGAAACCTACCTATTTGTATACCTATATATTATGTTACATTTCATTCGAAACGAGGATTTTTTTGACGGAGTTAAAACAAACGCAATCGCAGTTAGAAAAATGGCGGGAGGATACACAGGAGGTTGGTGGTATCGTTTGAATAACATCAAAGAAAAACAGTGAGAATGACGAGAGAAAAATATACATTTATATCTGCCGCCATCGCGCGTTTTGTATTTAATTTTATGTAACGTGATGTAATCATCGTAAAAGTATGATACGACCAGTACGTAATGGGCAGTAGGGGAAATCGGGAGGGTGGTTTGAGCGGTGACTAGACGTGTCGCGGAGAGGGTTCATCGGTGTACCAAAGAACGCAGATATGAAATAACGTTCGTGGAAAAGTTCTTCAAAGTATGCTCATACCCACTATATAATACTATTATGTATATTAATATATGCGATAGTTATTCATAGGATGCCCGCGTCCTACGAAATCGTAGGTAAGCTAACGAGCTTAGTTAACTATAAAGATATATTATATAACTCTTCATACAAAAAGTTTATTGTTAATTCCAATAAGCCGAGTTCGATTTCTATTTTCGGTAAAAATAAATCGCCATGGTTATAATGAAAACAATAATATAATAATACATTATAACGTAAACACATAATTAGGTACTCTAACATTGATTTTTTTTTTTTATAATGAAAGAAAGCTTATAAATCATAATGCCTTGTGTAATAGATATGTGAATGCTACTGAATAGAGGACATACATGCATACAATAAAACTGAATAGAGTTATCGTCATATTATTATAAACGTGTTTAATGTTTATATACTAACTACATTTAAAAACACTCGAATTTTTAAAATACTGATCAAATACATTTAATAATATAACTTGCGAGAAAACGTTCCACCGTGTTCATCCATAGTGTTTGGTTGGTTTGGATAATGATTTCTGGTGGAGGTTCTATAATTAAAATATCAGCCTTACGTGTAATATTTACTTTGTAGTGTTAATTAATTTGCTTTATAGCCACAGTTTTGGCATCATTTTAGTATTTTTCAATTAAGTGGTAGACGTCGATTCGATGCAGGTACAATCTATTTACGCGAATACCGCCAATACGTGGCAGCAATGCATAAGACATAATTCGTACTCTTAAGTCTAAATTTAATAATGCCAATATTCGTTATCGACTATATAGCAATGGTACCGGATGCTGTTTTTGAAGTTGACAATCTGACTAAAGCTCCACTGCCTCCCCCGGAGAAGGCATCTTTGATAAACAAGCGATTTTAAATATTTAATAGAAATCAAACAGTGATTTCGTTGGTTTTAAATAATCGAGTTTCGTGTACATTTGCATGACTACAATACTCGATCCGTTCACATCCACGTATAATATAGTGATGTATCCGTAGTTAGAAATGCATTAGACGGAACGCGTACAACGAATAATTCAATGCGGACGCCTAAGTTATTCCGTTTGAGTAGGCCCTCGTTCGACGTCTGAAGACATACGGAAAAAGGGTTCATACCAATAATAAGAATATAATATAAGTATGTACTTATGCGTGTTTGTCCCGGAGGCCGATATTACATCAAAAATCCTTCTCGTTTCGGACGTTACATTGCGTACGTGCGGAATTTAAATACCAAGCAAATCACGAAAATCTTTTCGTGTGTAACATACATATAGAGCCATTCCGCTTACATGACGTGTAGACAATACTGAATGAGACAATATTTATTTATTTTATAGAAATAATTTTCCGCGCCGTCAGAGAAATCCGGTTTCCTGCATAATATTATATCCAACGGGCCACTGATCAGCAATGAATTGGAGAGGGGATTTTCATTATTATTATTTTTTTCGGCAAATCGATTTGAAATTGCCGACCGCATGACTTGGTATGGATTACGGTGACAGTTGACGTATTGACGCGTTGCTCGAGACGATTTTCTATTTATTTTCATGTAACATATATTTTATACATTTAAATGATATATTAAAATAAATTATATGTGCGTTTATATATATATATATATATATATAATATATATCCGGTTGGGAAGACACTGTTACAATGTTTTTATGATAATATTCTCAAGCGAAATTGATTATTCTGCTGTAAAGTTTACAACTTAAAATTTATATTTTACGAGGTGCATTGCGTGTATAACTTAGAAGATTTAATAAGAAACGTCGGTCTCATGTTTATAAAATTTAACTCGTACGGCATTTTAAGATCCTAATGATTAATTAATTGCGACTTACAAATCTACTTTAACTTGAGTTTTTTTCACTAACTTTTTTATACTTAGCGAGTATCTTACATAAACATTGTAGTAGTATTTGCGTATTTTAAATTAATTAAAACCACGATTCAAGTATTAAAAAAAATAAATAATTTTTAATTTATAAGTCATTAATATTAAGTATAAATTTTGATTTTTTTAAATAATAATTAATATAAAAATAAATGTAATTTTTTTTTAAGTTTAGTAAATATTATAGTTATAGATATTTTAAATATGAATTTAATAATAAATCATTGTGTATAAAAAACAATTTTAAGTTAAGACGGCTTGTCAGCCTCTATTTCTGCGGATTTCTTTTTTTAATAATTCATTTATAATTATGTCTTTGCATAATTTATTTTTCTATTAGTAATGTGGTAAGTTGAATTAATTTTTGCAAAAAAACATCGTGCATTATATCATAAAATATATTTTTATTTATTATTAACTTATCAGACAATATCATGGTAAACTGTAGAATATAGTGAAAAAGTATGTATGATATAAATAATTTAAAGATTGTCAAGTATTTTAAAAACTATAGCGTTAGCAAGTATTAATGTATGCTATAATGAAAAAAATGTTAAGTCTCCGTAGAATCGTTATTTTTCATTTAAATATACAATTTTATCAACATTTAAACATAAAATGATTATCAAAAATAATAAATATTATGTCCATGTATTTTAATTTTTTTAAAATTCTATAAGGACAACTATGGAACTTTCAGCTCGTTTTTTTTTCAAGCCTGAAGTACTAATAAGAAACATTATATGGCTTTTTTTAATTGAAAAAAGGCTCACATTATATTAAATATTTTTTAGTATGTTAGTAATATATTAAGAAATTTAAATGCTTATGAGTTATGAACAAACTAATTACAATGTTTACCTGAAGCCATCTTCAAATTTGAATATTAAAACATATATTTTTGCTCTAAACTATGGTGTCAGTTAAAATAAAAAATAAAAAAAATTGTTATACAAAAATTTATCATTATTTTTAGAATCTACATAGTTTCAATGAAAATGAATTTAAAGAGAAACATATTGGAGAGAGAAGGATTATTTCAAATCGTATCTCAAATTCCACAACTTTTTTATTTAAACACGAATAACTTATTGTTGGTTTGCACGTAAATGTGTCGCATTACAATGACAATTTAATGACACTCCATTGTGAACGCGGCCTTATCAAGGTTGCATATGAACTCAATTGATCGTAATTTATATTGTACGTCTTAGTGTAATCCATAATTTTATTATCCTGAGGCGAACAGTTCCATTCGTTATTCACCAACACCATGGACAGCGTGCCGACTCCTTTTCACATTGGTTCGAGTGAATCTTCGGGAAATCTGTCCGACAACAGTTTATATTCGGAAAAATTCATCGGAGAGCCGGCTGAGTACGATCCTCAGGTAATGTACCATCCAGCGTTACGCCTTTACTCTGATATCTAATTTCCGGTTATTGGTATGTACTATGTAGTTATAACTATATTTTCTTTGATCTGCCAACGAGATTGTATATTTTCAAAAGTTTTTACATTAGTTTAAATGGGAAATATTGAAAATATTGATCTTACGAAAAATATCAAACAAAAACTTTGATTACGGAATGTATTATCGGAATTTTTGATATAATAATATAGTATATAGGATCCTATACTGTGTTTATACTTCGTGTAACCAAATTACTATTTTGCATCGTATTCATTTCAAGTATAAGCCATTGATAGGGTTAATATTATATCAATTTCATAGTTTGCTAAGTATTTTTTTTACTGTTTACACTCATGGTATCTCAAAAGGATATATTTTTTTTTTAAAGATATATTTTTTTACATAGTTTAAAAGCAATAAGCCCTTGCATAATTTCACAAGAAAAAAACGTGGTTTTTGAATAAAATAAATATTTTTAGATCTGTATTTCAAAAAAAAAATAAAAAAAATATTGTTTAGATTATTTGTATTCATAAAAAGTGTTTCAGAGCTTTGAACAGCTTTTTTCCTGAGTTATGGTCAATTATAGTTTATAGGTAATATTAAAATTTTTAAGTAATTATTAATTTTTGTTCCAAACTTTTCAAGCTTCCAATTTGTACATAAAATAATATTATTATCAATATTATGTAATAGTAACAGTGCTTAGTAGTAATAGGTGTCCATTAATTATGCAGATTAAGAATGTTCCATTGATACAATTATAATATATGTAAATACATTTCATAACCACTGGTTAGTGAAATATAAAACGATAAATATAGTACCTATGTGTATTATATAGTTATTAATTATTAATTTGGTTTTTACATTTTTAAATTATTTATTATCAAGGCGTTATAACTTACATTTTTATTAATAGGATCAATGAAAAGATCTTCATAGCGTGCAAAAAAATAATACATTTATCATAGGTACGCATTGTTATAAAAGTACTTGGGTTGATAATATAGGTTTGATAACGACAAAACACCATTAATATTGCCATTATTCTTATCGACTAATCATTAACAGTAATGTGGTTGTCAATGATGGAAAATAAACTTTTCTAATGTCTGTTGTCTTAGCTACCATATATGCAAACATAAAACAAAAACGATATAAAACAAATATTAATTTTTTAAATACACTATTAAACAAAGACAATCGGAAACATGATCGCATGTGCGATTTTGTTCAACATAAATTGTTATGTTTTGTATACTTTGTGGAATAAGAAGTTTGACTTATTAAGCCCAACTGTGGGAATATAATAGCGTCACGTTAAAGTCCGGAAATACTTACTTAATATATTATATCAATATAGACATTCCCTTCAAACTTCAAAGCAAACAACCAATTAAATGAAAACAAAATGATCGTGCACATGATCTTTACTCTACTTTACAGTGGCAATAGTCCTAACTACTATATTATACATCTCTGAAATTTATAAATTATACAAACGAGATGATGTAATATAATATATTTTATATTATGCCGAACAAAATGTATGTTTTTTAATGTTTAAACAACTATTTGTAATTATTATAGTATTTGTGTTTCTCTCGCATAATTATTAAATCCTTATAGAGTTCGAATATTATTTTTCTCGAATGTTTCCAGATCGTCAAATCTATTTTTCTCGTTGTATACACTATAATAGAGGTACGTCATGATATTACACATAGGTAAATGAAAATAAATAAATCAAACGGATATGGTTTACAATAGTAGATTTTTTTCATTTTTATTTTTATTTTACTATCACTGTTAATCCACGAGTGCCTTTGCCTCGTTCGAATAATAACTACACATTTATTTATTTTATATCATTAATGAAGTGCGCGTTAATTAACATACGTGCACTATATACGCATAATACTAATATATATTATTAATTTTACGAGCTCAGAGCATCAAGTGCTCGTGCAACCAACGAACCACCGGTTAACAGTTTTATCGATTTATATGACAGGCACATAATAACCCATAGGTAGCTATCGAATTCGTTTATGGCCAAATTTGAATTTACGCATTTCGAGGCATTAACGTATTAAAACAACAACACTATATTGCAGTTCATGTATAATAAAAAATGTGAAAAAACCTATTAATCCCGAAAACATAGTTTGTTGTCTTGCAACAAAAAGCTATTTCGTGTGTTTATTTATTTATTTGTTTTTATTTTTGTTCAGCTCACTCCGGAAAGGGTCAGACTTAACGGATATGATTCCAGCGAGACTTTCAGCGACATGTTGGAAGACGTGGCCGTCAATTACCGGACGCATCACAATACTCAACCGAGACCCGTGTAAGTTACCGACATCGTTACGTAACTGTTATTATAAATTATTACAATACGACAATGGTCCACCGACATAATATAACGAGGGCAGTAATAATAAATAACGATAATATTATAATAATATATAACCAGTGGCGTAGGTATTTGTGGTGTATTTGTGGCGTATTTATGGCTATCGTGGTATGATGAAGGGGGGGGGAGGGTTGTAGCTGTCGCTACGAAATGTCTGTGAAAATTTTAAACAGGTAGTATATTTTTATTTGTACTGGTATTAAGTGGTTATTTTCTTCTTAAATATTACAATTTTTATTATTATCCGTAAACCAAATTTTTCAAAAAAAAAAAAAAATTGTACTAACTTTTTTCCAAATGCAAAACAGTTTAATATAGCAATACACCCACTTATTAATTATCTCTATTAATGAATGAACTGTACAATTTTACATCAATGCGTAGTAACACTTTTTTAAGAGACAACAACATGGCAATATCTAACGCATTGATTACGGATGATCGATATAATTTATTATACTCAATGCCGATATTCTCTCAATAAAAAAAACACATAAGAATTTTAAGATTGAAAAAATAGGTTAATACATTTTTTTCTTATACTATATATTTTTATTTTATTACGACCATAGTGTTAGGTTATTTTAGTTTATTGTATGAATTATTATACTCAGAAATAATTCAGAAAATGTATATAAATAAAATATATCTTAAGCAAAATTTGTAAATATTTAATACACAATATTTTTTTACCAACAATATAATTATCGCATAACTAATAATAGTATAAATATTAGAAAAATATAATTTCCTTTATATATTTCCAAAATTAAAATACATTAAAACCATGATGGGTCAACAAACGGAGTAAAAATTATTATCCTATACAGTTATGCATCATATTATTCTTTTTTACATTTTCAAAACCAAAGTGGACTATTATAATAAATATAGTGACATATGCATATAGGTTGAAATTTTTAGTGCTTACGTTAATTGATTATTTCGTCATTAATGTAAGGATAAATTAAAAAATTAAAATGTGTTATGTATTTTATTTAAAAAAATCTAAAACAGATAATTATATTTCATTCACTTACGATGCCTTTGCATATACTTATTTTTAACAGCCCGTGAATTACATTTTTTTTTTTTCAATATTTTGCGTTCTACCGTATACATAATATTTATTATTATTACCAACCTCCCCCGAAATTGCGATCAGAATACGCCCCTGTAATAAACAACGACGCTGAGTTCGGAGATGTGAAATCTATTCGAGGTGTATTACACCCATCTAAGATTATAGGTAGGGCACGTTACAGTGTCACCGCAAAGATTCATGTCCGCAATATTATAATAATGCGCGCGTTATGGTATTATGCAGTCATAATTATTATAATGTTTGCGCACGCAATATGCTCGTTTCACTCATTTTCACCATAAATTATATTTGTACATACATATAATATTTCAAAATAATAACAACGATGGTGCATGGTATGGATTTTAATTTGACGAAAATTTTCCTAGTTGTTTATAAATCGAAATTAAATGACCGCAGCCCCATGAGTGTTTTGTTGAGAAGTCGTAATGACGTCGAAACCATTGGAAAAACAATATTTATACTTAAGCTGTGGTTAAACAATATAATATTATATTATGGATTGGAATAATATTAGATTTTAATAAAGAGAGAAAAAATTCCGTATGATAATCAATTTGTTTATATTTCATAAGCAATTAAAACAATATAATATAATATTATAACAATTCTAAAAATTTAACAAACATTTTTTTTAATTTAATTATTTGTTTACGTCAACATTACATTATTTGCAATCTGAAATTGAACTTACTCATTCCGAAAACTCATTAAAAGAATAAAACAAATTAAAAATAACTAAAAATAATTAAAAAACAAAAACTGTTTGATATTTTCCATTACCTATATTATAATTAATTATAATAAATATATTACATACCAATTATTGTTAAATTGTTAAGTTTATTAATAAAAAATAATATTAATTCTCACTTATTTTGATTTATATTCCATTGAATTGTTTATTATTAAAGTTAAACTAAATTTATTCAAAGTTTAAAATGAATTTTTTTTAACCAGAATTTACAAACGTTATAATAGCGTTATGATTATAACGTTATATTTGACAAAAAATGATTGAAATTTGTAAACGTAATTATAACGGAAAACGATAAACATAAATAATTAAATTATACAAAATAAAACATAGCGATTAACAAAACATATGATATATCATCAAACAAAATATAACACAAAACGTTATATTTAGTATATCATAAAAAGAAATAATTAACTTCCAATTACAGTAGACGCCGTTTATAAGACTCACGGATATAAGGTTCAGTCGCTTATTAGACTCAAAATCGTCTGGAACGGTCCGGAAGTATCCAAATACATTAAAAAAAATCGGTTTTAAGACTCAACACTTCGGTTATAAGACTCAAATTTCGTAAAATAAATAGTAGAAAATAAACTTTTTTGGTTATAATTTAGAAATAAATTAGTTTTGAAAAATGAAATAATATTCGTGTTGATTATTTCTAGTTTCTGTTGGTACCTTATAACGTATAATAATTTTTATCGCAGATAAAAGTTCACATTTATTGCAACGATAATTATAACGATTATAATTTTAGTTTTTTTTATCGGGATTATTAAATTTATTCAATAATTAAGTATGTAATATGTAATATGTGTTAATGTATTAAAATCAAAACAAAATAATATGTAGTAAAATAAAATTTATAAATACGTAATTAATTTTTTTTTCCACTTCGCCTATAAGATTCATTCGGTTATAAGACTCACTTTGTGCTGGTCCCAAAGTGAGTCTTATGAGCGGCGTCTACTGTATTTAATAGCTATAAATTATAAAATATACTAAAAATTTGAATTCTGAATAATGTTAAATGCAAAAGTTGAATAACGTTTTAATTCTGAATAACTATAAACTCAAAATTTGTATAACGTTTTAATTGTAAATAACGTATAACAAAATATTTTTTTCAAATGCAAGCCTTGTTTTTAACAATTAATGATTTGACGGTCGCCAATCTAAGTAATTTAGTCAACACAACGCTATTATTATTATTGTATTAAACATTTCTATAAGACGTCTTACGTCGATTTTGTCTTTAGAATTAAGCCTCTATTTAAGCTTAAATACATTAAACATTTTGTTGTAAACAAAGTACGTAGAATTAAATTAAAAATCATAATAGTATTAATGTACAACAACTTTAAAATGTATTAACGTTTAAAATTTAAGATGTTTTTCTAATTAAGCAATTTTTTAAGAAATTAATAAAATCACAAAACCGGGAACCTTGTTCTCCTGTATAGTAAATATTGTACCTCGTTACTGTAATGATTATCTTTGATTTAAATTTAATGACATATGTATGTTCAAAAATTATTGTGAGTAAACACAGCCTGACAGTTTATAATATATAATTTATATATTTTTCTATTAGAAATAGAATACGTTACACTAATATTTAGAAATAATAATTATTTTTAATTAATAATAATAATACTCTATGATGAAAAGTTACAAATCATTGCTAATAATATTTTTGAATTTAAACAAGATTACTAAAATGGTTTTATTTTGTTTACATCTATAATTTTGATAAAATATGAACACCAGATATCAAAAAAAAAAAAAAAAAAAAAAAATAAGAAAATTTATCTAGATATTTGCATAACTTCAGTTATTTTCAAAATCGGACCAACCAAAATCCCACAGTTTTGTCATAACTAAAGGTCTAAAAGTGATATTTTTCAACCGGCTATAACCACCTTAATCGTGTTTTGATATTTAATTTATACAACTTTCATTTTTATATTATCAACTCAGTATAAATATTTTTAATAATTTATTATGTATGATAAGCTTGATATACGACAATTACAATTCAGTACTTCAGCATTTATAACAAATAAAAATAGTTTGATTTGTAAAATTGAAAGTACTAGGTAAAAAGTGTTCTTTCAAATAATATTGTTGATAATAAATTTCAAGAAAATTAAAAAAAAATACTTTAAATAGTTTGAAACTCGTATACACGTGAATAATATCGTAAAATTCGCAAGAATGTATATCAAAAATTGCTTTTAAGTAACTGTTGTGGTAATATAAAGCGTATTTGAATTGAATATTTAATTTTTTTTGGGCGTTTTCATTGGAATTTCCTAATATAATATTATTTATGGAAAAATAACCTACATTATTTAATTTAAAATGAACAATATTAAATTAACTATAACATACTAGATGTTTAAATATACACCAAGCAATATACACACATATATGCCTCTAATTTAGCTTTTAATTTAAGAAAAAATACTAATAACAGCTTTAAGGCGAACTTTTAAAATAAAAATTGTTGTTAATGGAAGTATTTTATAAAAATGTCCTTTTGTTAAATTTTAGAATTTGAACATGATTTTTATTAATGTTGTGAGTATAACACAGTTGTCCACAAAACTTACAATTAATTGCATTACATTTTAAAGATGAAAAACAGGAAAATGTTCTAAGTTAATTAATAGTTAATGTTAACAATCCATATGGTGCTTATCACGTTAATTGAACTTCCAAAATCCAAACTATGTTTTGTACATAACTTTTCGCCCATTAACTTTAACATTCAAATGATGGTTAATACATTTTTAATTATGTATAATATTTTAAACGATTCACTTTTCTATGACTTCATTAGTCATATTTATTCTTTATAAATTCTTTTATAAATTCTACTATATTAAAAATGTTATAAACTATTTAGTACTATTTTGTGAAATAATATTATAATAATTACTATTATACTCGTACAATACATGATTTTATGATTTTTTTTTTTTTTTTTTGTTTAAGAACAATATAATAAAATTATAAAATAAAATAAATTTTATGTTGAAAGACCGTTTTTGCTCAGAAATAATATTAATATGATACACAATTTAATAATTTATCATTGAATTCAAATTCAACACATCCATTGCAGCGATTTATTCTTTAACGAAATATAATCAATACTTTTTGTACTTATAAATTTTCCACTTTTTGGAACTTAACTTTAAATCTTCATATTTAAAAAAAATATTGTTTAAATATTGTCATTATTTTTTTTTTTTGTATTTCTAAGAAATATTCTCTATTCCTAATAATTATATAAGGAATGTTCTCAGAAATTTCCGAGATTATGGACACCAGCGGAAGTATACCTTTTCTGTTACAAATTAAAGTTAATTGTATGTTTTTTTCGTTTTTTTTTTTTTTTTTAACTAAACTTTCTACAATTTTTTATATTTATGTATGTGAATTGATTCAAACGATACGCTATGCACGGTAGTAGACAGCATACGCAAGTACACGAAGGCGAATCAAAGTGGACGACGAGATTGACCGATATGAAGTTTCTGGAAATGGCAAAAGTTTATCAATCACGGTACGCGTTGCACTGAATTATAATAAATTATACATCTACGAAACATTAAGATGTCTTGGTTTCCTTATAATTTAATGACTGTTAATAAGAAATAACGAAACACAATATATTTTAATGTGAAAACGTGCGTCGCTTACGTCATATATTGCAGTAAAATAGTACGAGATAACACGGTGAACTCAAGTGAAATTATATTATACATGCATGATATGGTTTATACGTAAACCAAGACAATGAGAGTTTTCTAATTTTTCGATAGCGTTTTAAAAAGTATATATTTTTTCGGCCGACCATAAGTCACCGAAAACACAAAACTGTTTTATTTTATCTAACAATAACAATAACAATTATTTTTTATCGTTAAAGTATTGAACTGTTCAATATTTTATTAGAAAAATATGCTCCGTTACATCCGATTAGATTTATCCAGGGGATTCGACCCATTGACATACAAATTTGAAAAAACTTTTCATTTTATTTGTCATTGTGTGTATATAAATAAACATTATAAATATTGATTCTTGTGTTATATCATTAAACTGTACACCGGGGGTGACCTCAAATCACGTAATGGATTTTCCGTGTTTTTTATTTTATATTTTGTCTAACCGATAAATATATAATTTTTAAAAATAGTAAACGTACAAAATATAAAGTAAAATTGGTTGGCCTAGTTTTTAACTTAATACGAGTGGTTGTGTTATTACTACCATCAACTAAATATTAATCCGAAGTAGGTTTTTTTTTTTTTTACATTTTATGACTCGTAAATGAACCGTATGTTGCAATAACGCAGCTATTATACTAGTATCATATTCCCCAAGCATTGTGTAGTACGCTTTTCTATAATAAAAACATATTATTCATTATGGTCGTCAACCTTTCTTTAATAACTGCAGTCGAGTTATTATGATTCAGATAATTTTTAATGTTAACTAGTTAATATATTATGTTTCTGGTAAAATTATACTTTTTGATCATTTTTCGATCTAAGCAATTTTTTAAATCGATATTATTAAAATTTAGTAGACCATAATACAATGCAACATTAGTATTGATATTTAATTATCAAAGTTTTATTTTATTTCTTTGTAAATTTTTTTACTAGCTAACAATATTAGCAATATGTCTAACTACTATTTATATTAATTATTATAATTGTATATTTTTTAATTTATACTATAAGAATAAACCAGATATTTAAGTTTGGAAAATGTTTTTTTCTATTTTTCAAGTTCATTATTATCTGCACAATCAAAAAATTCCTTGTTCAATTTGAGCTTTTGAATACGTTTTAGAAAAAAATATTAAATAATTTGTCAGATTATATTACACTTCACAAGTTAAATTTACAGTTGTTTTCAAATATTATATTAATAAATGTATAATCACTAGAGACAAATTGTAATTTATAATACATTTCTATATCGCGTAAATACATTTTTTTTTTTTTTTTTTATCAAACTCTAAATAAAAATATATTTATATCATGTTTTAAAATATGTTGATAGACATATAAATATATATTTTTATTTAATTTTGTGAACCAAGTAATGCTTATACATTTAAAATTTTTACAATTATAGCTGTAGGATTTCTTTTTTTTTATGTAAATGACTATATTAGCATATATTTCACTAAAATTCATATGAATAATAATAATAATAAAAATAATAATAATAATACTATCACAATCAACAACAAGAGATACAAGATACAACTAAAACTATTTAGTAAATCAATTAATGGTTTTCATTAAAATAACTGTACATTATTTTATCGATTTGATATAAAAGATACAAATACTTTTTTACCTAGTGGAACTGGAAATGATATTATGAACAACGATTATCTTTTTTTAAATACAATTTTGATATTTTAAATTATTTATAAATAGACATGAAAAATCTAAATACACTGGCTTTTTTAGTGAGCTACAGAATTAATAGTTACATGTGCATTTCTTAGGTTTAAACGTATTCATTAAAAATAATAAAATATTATATTCTATACCAGTTCCTGACTAGAAGTCGTTTTCAAATTCCATGAGTAATGCAAAACAATAATAGATATACATCTATAGAGATGAATTACCAACAACACCGCCAATACCGTGGGTTTTTAAAACCTATTATAATATTATTTTTGTTTTTGTACATACATTTTTAACACGGCGCAACGTGTAGGCAATATAGGTACTTATATTATTTAATTTAATATTATTATAAATGGCGTACCTATATAATAAAATGAATATGAAGTCTATAATAATATAGTGATTGTTATGTTATGTATATTGATGAAATAACTATAATTCAAGTGACAAAAGTTTGTTAAATATATTATAAACTTAAATATATCATATACATAATAAGTTATTGTAATATAAAACAAACTACGTAAACCCATTTTTAAAACGATGGTTTGGTATTTTCCTATTAAAAAAACTATCTTATATATAATATATGCATTGTAAACATGAGATACACCCTAATATATTATTTATATTATATGTACATGATATAATATTGTATACTGTATAGCGTACATTTTTTTATTCTATTATTTTTACAGTATACTTTCTCGAGGTTGAAGTCTTTGCAAAATAATATTATAATGATTATATTTGCACCAAAAACTTGCTTATATAAAACCAATTAAACGCATTATCAATTCATAATATTTTTTATTATTTTAAAATAAGAAATAACCAAAAACACTATTATTGTAAAATCAAACTACTTGAAATATTACATCAGAATACAAATTGAAATATCATAAAAATATTTTCATTGTTTGTATCCTTTTTAAAATAAGAATTTAACCCTACTGACCATCAATAAAATATTGCAGTCATACAAACATAATTTTTTTCTTTAGTTCCCTAATTAGTCTCACAATAATATTCGTATGGTAAAGTTAAAAAAAAAAACCAAACAACAAAGGTTTCAATTGAAAAAAGTCATTTCAATTGATTCAATATTCAATCCAATAATTTATAGAAATAGTACATAAGAATAAGTTATAATGTTTTGTATATATATATATATATAAAAAGGTTTATAAAGAAATAATAAAATAAATACAATCATAATTAAATGAAAAAATACAAATACGCGGAATAAGTATGTACGTAGTTACATCATAATTGTTTCGCATTTGAATGTTGATCGAAAATAGCACAAAACTGATTGTTTAAGTTCAGGACTCATTAATATGATTTTTTAGCACAGGAATCGATCGTTTAAAAACCAAAGACTCGTTTTAGTTCAAGAAATCTTAGTTTTTCGGAATGTTTGGAGAAAATATTATTAAAATCGACAAACACAACAGTACATAATATTATAGGTACTGTTAAACATATTGTTTATTAATTAAACATCTCTCGACTGTCACATACAATTAATTAGAATAATAATCACTAACATCATGAATGTATTTTAAATTTTCACTATTGACAATATGTGCGTGTCTTGTAAATATTTATATATATATGCGTATATTAAAATATCGTGTCATGTTTCGTCGCCGACATCTCATGAGAGACGGAAGTAAATAGATGAGTCGGGTGTACACGTGAAGCATAAGGCAAGCAGACAAGCTAATGTGTCACAGAGTAGATATGCATACGTCTCGCAGTGAAAATGAATAACAGTGAAAAAGGAGAAAATCACAAATAACGACTCGTATAATATAATAATAAACATAAAAAAAAAAAAAAACATTGGCATATAAAGGACAATAGAACAGCACAAAGGAGAAGGATTCAAAACTTTGGGTATTCAACTAAAGGTAGTTTTGTTACTTTTTAATATGTAACTAAAACATATCCTATACCCTCGAGTGGTCAAAACTATTTTGATAACAATCACACACATACATATATATAATATATTATATACTATCAAATTATTATAAGATATTTTTCGTTCATTTTTTAGCCATTATCTTTTTAATACTCTTACCTTTTTTATCTAACTATTTAAATTTAATATGCATCATGTCCAATGAAAATAAACCTTAAAAACCAATTAAAATCTATTTGAAATTATTAAAATCGACAGTGCACTAGACAAAAGGCAATAGATATTGTTTTGAATATTTAAATATTAGTACACTCGTTAGGTTAGATTACCATTTTTGCGATTAAATTTAAATTTTTTTCTTTTTTTATCTATATTTTTGATGCATGTTTATGATATTCGTGCGATTTAAAAGACTATAAAATCGTAGCGTTTAATGACATTATAATTAAATATAAAAATATACTATTCTATGAATTATATAAATTATTAATAATATTTTAATAATGTAATTTATTATGTTTTATTTAAATTAAGATTATTATGGTTATATTTTAGTTTAAAATTTAAATATATATTTACCGTATTTATTTGAAAAGTGTACAAAAGAATAAGTATTTTAAATTTAATTATATGTGTATATGCAGTTCCTTTATTTATATTATATTTAAAAATGTCTCGGGAATACGTATAATAATTAAGTGAGCATAGTTTTTGTAAGAAATTTAAACGGAAATCCTGAACAAATCCAATAAATTACTTCGATGAAAAACTAGAAAATAATTACCATATTTTTGGCTTTGTATTAATTATAAATCAAACTTAACTTTATAAACAATTATATAAATCCCCTTCTAAAAAAAAAAAAAGAGCACAAAGTGCAATTAATTCTTGTACATTTTCGAAAGGTTATAAATATAAGTTTTAATTTAACTTTGGCCTCACAATAAGAGTATAAGATTATACACATATTTTATTCGAGTTCATTTTTTGTGCTGGTTTGTAGCATAACTTTATTTCATTAACATAGTTCAAGAGTTTTTATGTTGGTTATAAAAATACTATATAATTTTTTTTTACATATGAAAAAAAAAAATTATTAAGATATATACTTTTAATAAATTTAGATCACCGGTGATTCACGTTACAAGGAGATCTTCATCGGCATCGCAATCAGACTCAGACAAATACGGGACTTTAGATGATACAGATATATCAGTGAACTCACTCACAAGTGTCAACTCAATATCGAGTTTACTAAGAGAAAAATTTTTGGTACGCGCTTACAATTATATTATCACATATTTTTGCTTTACTTTTATAGAATAATATAATAAATTATAAAAAAAAAAAAACAACAAAAATTGTATCACAGATGAATATACAAAAAATGTCGAAAAATAAAGAAGTACAAGCCGATTACAAGCTGAGGGCATTTATTATATTTTTGTTCGTTGTGATAGTCTGTGTCCTGAAATTCGCTCACGTCTATTATGACCGTCACGTGCTGCAGGTGAGTAAACTATGATTAGTATGACTGTACATATTATCAAAATCATCATATTAGATAGTATATTATCAAATCAATTGTATTGGATAGTATTTGGTTCCAAAATAACAATATGTAACGATGTGAATGCGTATTTAAAGGAACACATTAACCTTATCCTATGATTAAAATAAATAATTTTTTTTTTAATGTTATGTATTAGTTGGTAATAATTGTCTAAATTACTTTTAATAAGCATAAACTTAAATATTTAACTAGTTAAAGTTGCATTTAATACAATAATAACATAAATTTGTCTTATTTATTAAAAAAAAAAAAAAATACAAAAAAATATGTTACTATAGAAATGTTTAAGTTAAAATTGTATTTGTAGATATCTAAACTGTGATATATACGTAAATTAAAACAATAATTGTATTTAATTGCACCGAGTACACATATGTGTCATGTACTATGTATGAATTAAATTAAGTAAAAGTGAATTAATAAGTATTTTGAATTAATTATGTATTAGTGATTAACGTGTAACTACTCGTGTATCATGTAGAATAAATGGTCGATTTATAACAATCGATCACTATAATAATATACATGAACTTGTGTGACCGAAGAGTTAAATAAATTGAAATTTTTAATATTGACTGAAGTCAATATTTTTTTCTAAAATTGTCTAAAAAATTTGTATATAGCTAAATAATTATAACACCATGTGTTATTTATATTTTATTAACTCAACGTCATTATAGTGTTGACTTTACCCAACTTGTAGACTACCTAAGTCAAGTTATTTTTTTCATAAACTTATCCGCTTTTGCACAATGACGTGTGTGCTAAATATACGATGTACACACTATTCAATAATACTTCTTGTCTCGCGCACATAAGTATAATATACCTATATATTATAATGGTTACGTGTTGTTTATGTTGTGTGCAGAAAGCATATTTCAAGTACACGAGGTTCAACAAGGACGACCGTTTCTTGCGATTGTTCGGCGTCGACGGGCACGAGATAGCGTTCGGTTACCTCGGCGTGGAACTGGCGGAGAGGGAAAAGGCTTTCGATTGCTTGGCGGGGCACCGTACGCCTCGCAACGCACAGTGTTTCGAATGGATGCAAAAGGCCAGATTGTATCTGTCCCACGAGGAAAGACCGGAGGGTCTGAACTGCTACACGGTGGAATGGTTAAGCCTGACGGATAAATACAATCCTATAGACTGTTACGAGGACGGCGAACAATACGGCCATTGGTTAGTCGTATAACATAATAATATTATCATATTATTATTATTATTATTATTATTATTACTATTATAACGCAGTGACCGGTTATCGGCAAATCATAAAGCAACGCTCACTAGACTCGGCGTAATAATAATAATAATAATAATAATAATGAGATTTAAGTACCTGCCTAATGGTATAATGGCGTTATGGTGTAGCGGAATTCCACACCGTGTGTTCTTATAATAATATATTATACGCCACCGCGACGGCAATCCATATCACAAAATGCGCGTACTCTCGTTCCAATGTCGTGGGATCCCAGCCGCCCCCGCAAAGACGTAAATTTTATATCACTCCGGAGGTCTCAAAGTGCATTTCCGAAAAGCCGTTTATGCATAGTTATGTTATATACTCGACGATACGTCCCTACCACCTGTAAATATTTTACGGCCAACCAACCACTTCTCTCCCTCCCCCCTTCCCACATCATGCACGTCAACGTCATTTCGCGAACCACGTTTTGTGATGAAATTATTTCTAAAATGTTATTTTACAAAAAGCGACGATCGACGAGAATGCGTACAGTTAATAGCTATACGTTGTGCTGCCAGAACACATCAAATACCTAACTTAATACCTGCATATTATATAATGTAAGTATGACGTATATATATAAATGCAGGTATGCAACGTACGAAATGTTTTAGTCTCGAAAATGTACGTCAATCAAAATATTAGTCATAACCACGTACAGAATAAACTCGATCAGAATATTTTTTTCAACTATTCATAATGTTACGCATATTAAAAATATTTTTATATTTAAATTGTGACTGGAAACGTATTGGACGTATGCAGGTACGGGGGCGGTAGATCGTTGGGCATGGCTTGGCCTGTCCAATTGGGGAGGGTGGAAATGTCGCCTTTCATCACCGGACACGTTGGCAGACACCGGTGGGGCAGTGTGCTTGGACGATACTTCATCAATTCGAAAGGAGTGGCGATCACGGTGCACTCCAACACGCCACTGCACGTGTCCATAAACGCCGGCCGCGACAACAGGCTGTGTATAAAGGTTCGTGTCGGATGTAGCCGGTGAAAAGGCGCGTTTTCGTGTTTTATTTTTTGACGTGTGGAATAATGTATTATCGTCGTTCGATCAGGCAAGCCACGACGACTTTGCCTACCGCCGGACTGCCGACCTTCCCGTCTTGAACTACACGATATGCTCGGCGCGAAACATGAAGACGCTGCACACGGCCCTCTCCGAGAAAATGTTGTGGGACGGACTGAAAGCATCAGACACCGAGATCATAAACTCGCTGCTGACGGAGCCCGTCTGGCAGCTGGCGCCGCCCAGAAAAGAATTGCTCAACGAGTCCACAATGGTCAACTACACCGAGGACATAATAACGCTGGGTTTCATAAAACAAGGTATAGTCATTGTTCTTTTGTGGTAATGTATAGAGACAGCTGCCAAACATGCTATAATTTAACTCCGAATCGGGTGTTTACAACTTCGATCAAAAACCGATAGGTAGGTACCTATAAAGACTATTATAGTTATTAATTTTATTATATTATAAACTAATAGAATAAATAAAAATAACAATACAGGCCATAATTTATTAGAAAACAAGTTTTCATTCATTCTAAATAATAAAAATAATATGTCAATTGATGTTTATTAAATAATTAATAAAAGCTAAGCAATGCTTGTATAAGTGTGTACGCATGTGTGTGAAATTTAAGACTATAGAGACAGACTGGTAACTCGAATGAAAAAATGTAACTCAATTTTAAACAAAATATAACATAGTATAAATAATTACGGTCCTTTTTGGCTCAACAGAATAAAATGTTAAGAATAATAATAATAAAAATTTGTGGAGCGCAGACTGACCAGCTGCTACCTATGCTTAAATAACAATATTATAAAACACGCCAAGGGTAAAACAGATAAGTCCTTAGGATAACAACATATTATTAAAATGGATATAAAATGAAAAAATGTGGCGATTTGCGCACACGCGATTTACAAAAAAATAGTGGTGATTAGCACTTACACGATATTATAAAAACCGTGCAGGTGATTCGCGCCAATACAAAATATAAATAAAACGAAATAGTGGCAATTAGTGCACACGATATTAAATACAAAAATGTGATATAAAAAGTGGCGATTCGCGCTAATATAAAAAAAATATATATATAATAACATTTATGTGGCGTAGTTAGCGCGCAAACGAATATGAAAAGCACAGTGCGATCGGCGTTCTCGTCGGATAAAAAAAGGATCAATATTGTATACCAATAATGTGCATACAACCGTCACGGAAGACATTTCGACGACGTCGAGATTTTTGAACTAACTGAGAAAACTTGTACAATAAAAATAATAATAATAATAATAATATTATACGGACGATAGAAAACGATTACGGCGGCTGTGTTATTCCGCGCACCAGAGTGCAGCAGACGATGGACGATAACGCGTTGTTGTGTAATAATTAACATATTAATATGTATAATATTATATAATTCACAATAATAATAATATTATTATTATACAAAAATAATTAATATAAAAATATATCGACGCGTGTGTGTGTGTGTGTGTTATCAGCTGTTCTTCCCGAGCCCGTGACCTACTTATATTATTTTTAATTACCTATATTATATTGGCGGAAATAACCTGTAAATTGTGTCATAATCATAATATTATATGTCGTTAGTCGAAATCTAAAAATCATCACTGTTAACTTTATAGTGTCTAATTATTTTTATAATTGAACTTGTAAAAATAGGTTTTTTTTTATATACGCTTTTAAGCGCCTATTTTGACAAATTTTCCTTGGCTAATCGCAGTATATAAATAATGATTTCTTTTTTTTTTTTTTTTTAATACATAATAAATTTCCGATCATCATTTAACACCCGTATTATCGTTGTAAATTTTAGGACACGTTTTGCTAAACGAATTCTGGCAAGCAGAAATGGGTGATTTTTCGCTGGACCAAAAGAGATTTCCGACCATGAAAGAGACGATCAACATAATTCACAGGAGAGGTTTTCGCATTGTGGTCACCATACAACCATTCATCAGCACCGAGTCGAGAAATTTCGCAAAGGCCGTCAGAGAGGGTATTCTCGTGAGCACCAAGAGTGAAATAACATGTGGCCATAATATTAAGTTATAAATAATGATAAAAATCATCGTTTTTATGCCCCGTTCTTATACAGGTTAGGCAAATCGGAAGTGAACGCGACGTGCCGGCTCTGACCAGATATAAAACTGTACAAAGTGCTGGCATGTTGGACATAACCAACAAAAACTGCGGACCATGGTTACAGCAGCAGTTGAAAGATCTCGTGGAAAAATATCAATTTGACGCTTTCTACTTAGACATGGGTGAGTAGAAACGTCGAACGGAATATCCAAATATTGAATTTTGAACAATGCGTGAATGGTTTTTCTGGTATTATTTTCTTCACTTTACACACTCAGGCTCCGCTTACGACCTACCCCGTCACTATCTGTTTGCTGAGAACCTAACGAATCCGGACTACTACAAATCGCTCTTCGCGCAGACCGTTTCGGACAGCGTAAACGTGTTCGGCGTATCTTCAGCCATCAGTCGGCCGCCGGCTCCGATTTTCGTGTCGTTACTGTCATTGGCCTCGACTTGGGACTCTCTACAAGTGATCATACCGACCATGCTCACATACGGAATCGTCGGCTATCCGTTCCTGTTGCCCGGCCCTGTCGGCGGAGACTTTCAAGTCGGAAACGTTTCATTGCATGCTCTGGTTCCACCAGGTAACGAGCCCCCGAAACCCATTGTGTAGTGTAGTCATGCATACATTTCATTTTTATTTTTGATTCAGACAACCCGTCGATAGAACTGTTGGAGACCCAATCGCTAAAAGAATGCAAACAACGCGGACAAAACTATAACGAGAGTCGAGAACTGGTCATGAGATGGATGCAGTTGGCTACGTTTTTACCGGTTATCAGGTATGCGAGGCTGCCGAGCGATTGTGATCCGCAAGTACTCCAGTTAACGAAAAACTTGACGTCACTTCGACAGCAAATAGTGAGTGAATTTTACTGTCTAGTGTCGGTGATTTCTACTTCAAATCGTACCGCACGATAATATCGTTAACTGCCGTGGCAAATGTATTTTTTGAAATCTAGCAAAGATCTATTTTGTTTGATAGTCAAATCATTTTTAGTGGATATTTACGGTCATTTTAACTTCCCACCGAACAATTTATCACCAGATTTTTTTATCACAATACTGGCGTAAAACTATAATTTCATTATTGGTGCACGTTGTACACCCGCTATAGGTTTTGGTGGAAGCTTAAGAGAGTGAATATTATAAAAGCGGTAAATTCAAAACGAATGTTGTGAAAAGTTTCACGTCGGGAGTCACGTCTTAGTTATAAAAGTCTTGCCACATCGGTTGATAACGGCCAATAATCTACAATTTCACCGGAGTTTCATGACTGAAATTTGAACACACACTTCTAATAGATACAACCAGATGCGTATTATACACGTACGCACTTACAAAAGTTTTTGATCACTGCGCGCCCGTAATCCTGTCAGCCCTAACGTCATCTTCGATATCGTTATAATGTTATTATAGACTTATGCCGTACATTTTATTCAATTACGTACACAAACTTTGGGAATAAATATTAGTATTTACGGTGACGAAGAACATAATTAGATTTTGGGCACACCGTAAAATATATGTAAAACGTGTGCCGTGTAAATTGTTTAGAGATACTCTTACAACGTATCGTTCGATTATAATATAATATGACGTAGGTGTAAGAAAGGATTATAAGTGTAGTGTTTCCCTGCCTTCCTCCTGCGTATATAACTTAACGAACTTGATCAAACTTATTACCATGCGGCCGATCCGTATTACAGTATGTGCATTTGATTTGTGCGCAGATCAATCCATTACTGAAACGTTATGTTCAAGAAGCGCTGGAAACTGCGGTACCATTGATACGACCACTGTGGATGTTGGACCCGTCAGACACGACGTGCTACATCGTTAAAGACGAGTTTTCCATAGGCGAAGAAGTTATCGTGGCACCAATTTTACGACCAGGAGCCACAGAGCGCGAGGTCTACTTGCCCGCCGGTGTGTGGCAGGATGGGATCGAGGGCAGTTTAAGAAAAGGGTCCAGGTGGATACACAACTACAAGATACCATTGGACAAAATCGCATATTTCGTCAAAATGCCCAATAACACTAGATTTTAATTAATAATATTATTAGTTTATATTATGTTGTTATTAATAATTGTTAACTATAAAATTAATGACGTGATCTTTATCAAGTGGATTCAATTAGATGTTTGAGTATTATTTTTTTACAGTTGTTTATATTTCTCGTTTAATACTAATTTAGTTAAATTAAAATAAAACATTTAAAACGATAAGTTTTAAACCAATAAATAATAGAGAATTTAAAAGTTTTCATGCACAAAAAATGCTCTATTGTTCCCTTATTAAGACAAACTTAAAGTTTAAATCATTGATTTGGGCTAAAAATTCGACTGATAAAATAGTTTAAATTTTTCAGTTTAAAATTCTAAATTCAATTGCTTTCCGTTTAAATTTGCCTATTTCAAATGTCATCACTCATCAGTAGCAGACTATTTATACTCAGCCATGTGAGGTTAGAAGTAAGTTATCTGACGTTTTATTAATTTATGATCTTCTTACAGTAACATAATTAAATGGTATGATTAATTAAGTAAGATTGGTATTTGTATACATAATTATTCGATTAAAAATTAAAATTTTTTTTTGTACATTAAAAAAAAAAAAAAAGTGCTCTTATTCTTTTTTTTCTAAGAACCCTTTTGTTGTGTAATCAAATATGTAATGACATTATTTTTTTTTTCATCTCTTGTGAATGTTTTAGAACAAAAACTTTATTTTTATTTTCAAACTAAAACCTATTATTATATGTATTACATTATTATGTTTTAGTGTCTAATTATTTTAAACTATAATATTTTATTGTTTGTAATTTTCGTTTTTGGCTGTTTAGATTATTTTAATTGTTTCTGTATTAAAAGGATTTCTCTGTAAAATGTTTATCATAAAATAAAAATGTATAGGACGATATACAATGATGCTTTTATCAAATACTGATTTTAAGAATTTTTAAGTGTACGGATTATATCAAATTGTGTGTAATAAAAATTGTGAGAATCGTCTAAAAACCAACATAATTTTAAACAAAATTAGGAAGACCATACATGCTTAAGAACTATGTATTCGAGTACTTAGATATTTTATACATATAAAGAGTCTCCTGTGTTAATTTCAACTTTTTTCTTTTTACCCTTTTTATAAGAATATTTAATCAGGTGATTTTTTTGACAGTATTAAAATGTCTGAAAGTTGAAAAAAGGGAACTTTAAATGAATAGTTTTTTTTTTAATAATTATTTAACTTAGATAATAATTATTTGGAAGATATGACGGATATGATGTTTGAAAATTTAAGTATTTAACATTTATCTATACAAATTTTATAATTTGAAAAAAAAAATATTTGAGCGTTATAAATACTAAATCAGATATTATATATATTTTATATTTTTGTAAGAATATATTAACATTTTCAAAAAAATCATCTGCTTAACTTTATCAGTAAAAAATATTGGTTCTCTCATGAAAAAAAAATTGTATCGTCATATGATGCACCTTTAATACTACTTAAAAATATCTAAATATTTAAACATTTTATTCTTAAGTACACGTCTTTAGAAATAAAAAAATCACAATTAAAATAATTCTTCATTAAAGAAAAAAAAATAGGAAAATGGAAACAAACATGCTTAACGTATTATCATAGATAATGTACATGTATATAACAATAATATACACGTATCATAATCTAAATTAAAAACAAGCACATTTTTCACTTTTCCGTCGAAATAGATCAAAAATCAAATGATACTGTATTTTATGACTTGGTTTAAATAAATAGAAAAATTAACATCAACTATGTAACAATGACGTTTTCGTATGTATAAAATGCTAAGTGCCGCGTACTTACATGCAATTAATTAATTACAAGATTCAGTATAGTTCAACTTTAGATAATAACAACGCAAAACGTCGACAGTCAACCAACTGCTTTACAGATTAACTTAAGATAAATTAACAGTATTGTAATATTTACGACCATGTATTACGTAGTTTTTGATATTCACGGGGTAGTATTTATTAATGACTTGTAAAAAAATATACGAAAAAAATAATATTAAAAGCAAGTATTTAGTGAAAATAAAAACGATTATTTAAAAAACAACAGAAAATAGTAACCTCTCCCTTCGTTCAGAATTTAAAAGTGTAATTAATTGGAAAAAAAATTCGTATAAAACAGACTGTTTCAACGTTTAAAAATAATTTAAATAAAAACATCAGTTTTAACCAGAGTGGAAATCGTTAAAATATCACATTGCATATTTTTGGTGCCATATACATTATGGTGAAATAGAATAATATATTATATGATTTATTTGATTAAACATTGTAGATATCTGCTGTTTTTTTTTTTTTTTTTTTTAACTTGTAATATTGATTATAATGTATATGCATAATTATTCCATTTCATCGCATATTAGTATGATTTTATATTTATAGAGAATCGAAACAAATATATCTTATTATTATTATAATCTTAAAATGTATGTATTTACCTATTAAACGTTTAAATTAAATTTATAAATAACAAATAATATTATTATAATAATATATCAATTATTTTCTACCTAACTTGAAATTCATTAAACAGATACCAAACGAATATGGGATATTCTTGAATCACAAACATGAAATATGACAGTTTCTTGATTAAAATAATCAAAATATGCTCTTACATAATTTATCGTTTTAGGTATTGTAAAAAAAATTGAACGAGAGTATTTCAATTTTAATTAAAAACAATCTCAACTATGGTCAATTAATCAAGGGCCATATAATTATGTAACGTACCTACCTGCAAGTTATAAATAATAATTTTTTTGTAGTTTAAACTTGAAATATTTATATAATATGTATAAATTATTATATTCTGTCGAGGTACAAAATATTATACACAGATAGTAATAATCACAATTTATAACGTCTGTTTTCATATTTTATAATGTTTATGTGAGCGATACATAAATATTTAACACTATTAATTAATAAAAATATTCTTTAGCTATTCATTTTTGACCGGCAATAAAGTGTGTAAAAAAAAAGACATTTTCTGCTGTCAAAAACCTTAAATTTTTTAGAAAGTTCAATTAATTTTTAATTTCTCTTTGAATTATCAACATTCTTTCGTTTTAAATAAAAATTTTTTACACCATTTTTGTATAATGAACATACCATGCATAAATTAAAGGTCACGATAATTACTATAATATCCTATTACAATATGCGATCCGTGAAATTATATTAATTAATCGGGACGACTGCAGTCGATTGTAAAATGAAAAAGAACTGAAATATTTTTACGGTTTATCCTGATCAAAAATTTGTGCCAATCGTAATTCGTTATTTCGACAGTCAAAATCGTTTTTGATCAGCACATATCATACGTAATTACTACGATCGTTGATGTGTTCTAAATAATATTGAAACCTTATTTTAAGTTCGTGTTTCGCGAATTAGGTGACGTCTCGATCAGCTGTTATTTTTTTTTTTCAGTTAGTCGAACGAATGTTTACAGAATAAAAACAGACGACAAGAACAATAGTGGAATTAAAAAAAAAAAAAAAAAATGATCGTAAATATTATGCATACGACGTTATAATATATTAATACTAATGTTTTTGTGTAAACACAGCTGCGATACGCCTAAAATCGTGTGTAATGCTACTGAAAAACTGTGGTTACGAAAATCAACCGACAGTAACGCCAAAATGAACGCAAATGAAACACTCGTCAGAGTCATAGTCTTCGTCGTACTGTGTTTCGTCGTTTCGTTGATCATCGTGCCGCGTCTCACGAACGGTATAGTAATATTTTCAGCCTGACGGAGAAAATGGCTGGCCTTTACCATGTCATGGTCGGACCGTCGTCTCCAAGCGTCCCTCGGCATTCTTGTGCTGCGGCTGCTGGAAAAGTCGAGGAAAATTCCGAAACTGACGCTGTTACGTCGTCGTCACGAGAAGACATCGTCCGAAACGATCGAATTAATAAGGTAATATAACCTGTATAACATAGTATACCTACCTACGTATCAATGTATTATACCTACCACGTTTAAATAAATGTTTTCGAATCCTCTGTGAGAGCTGCGTGTCTTCGAAATGTTGAAATCATGATAAATCACGCGCGACGACGGTGTGATGATAATACCTAATAATAATAATAATAATAACAATAGTATTATTATCTGTACCATGTTATTGTTTTACAGACGGCGCATATATATATATATATATATATTATTATTATTATTTTATAATATCAAAACATTATCCGCGGATTAACAGAACGCCGTGCGCAGCGAACGAATATAAATAATGGCCGTTGTCTCCGCGCATTATCTGCAACCATGGCGTGTAATAATTCGACTTTTAAATATTCGGTACATTTATTAAATTAGAAACAAAACTATGCTATATTTATACACGGACTCGTCCGTAAAATCAAATAATCGCTTTATGTATATTTTATGAACGGTTTGTCCACGATATTATACTCGTACCGTCAACGTTCGTTCGCACAGTGTTTTGTACACATTCGTACGGATAACTAAAACACGATACAAGTGTTTGAAAAACGCGTGACGTGGATGATAAAAACGACAATAGTCGTAATAATAATTATATTTTTATGATAATTCAGAATTTATCGCGTGCACTCGTCGTGTTATCATCATGCACAAATGGATATTGCAGTGCATTTCTACCTAATGGCTAATAATATAGTCACAACTCACTATGATCGTCTCGTAGTTTTTGTCCCCGCCCACTATGCGTAATATTATTATACATCTCTATTTAATCACTAATTTACATGCCCTCAGCCGTTCATCCAATACTGATACAGTAACGAAACTTTTTTAATATTCTAACAAAAAAAAAAAAAAATAATAATAATTTAACATTTAAAATAGTGATATAAATTTGTTATTAGCCACGTCACAATCTCGGAGATGTGTATTGTGTAGGCGAAAAACGTACATTTTTTTGTTTTTATTTTTAAGTACTAACCAAAAAAAAAAAAAAAATATTTTTTTGATAATTTCGATTAATAATCATAAGCTATAGAAAAATATAATAAGATGTAATGACATTTACAAACTCTGTGGAAAGAAGACTCAAAGAGTTTATAGCCTATAGGTATTTTACAGCTAGAAGTTACAATAATTATTATT